AGCAGGAAGATCCAAGGCCAGGAGCTGCTGGAGGTGGCAGCTGTGTGCAACATTCCTCAACATTCAGCACAAAATAAATCTTCAGAGTATTTGCCATTAGAAATCTGCCCTGGGATAGCTCAGCATCAACTCACCGGTAGCTCATCCTTCTGGTTCCAAACACCTGTGCACTGCCTTTGTTCAATAACAGCCTTGATATTAATTAGAGCTGGTAATGCTACACAACCTGCTGAAAAACTGCAGAAAAAGGAAATGTTAACATAAGGTGCCTATTAGGAATCCAGCATTTTTCATCATTCTATTCTAAAGGTTAATTGGGACACAAGAGTGTTGTACTACTACAGTCAGTTCTTGTCTGTACTACTAAGCTCCCACCAAGTTTAACAAGCAAGAGTTTTGGAGCAGGTTATCAGTTACCCCTCATGTACTACATTCTGGACTGAAAACAATGGTTAATCCCACTCTGAATCTTGTTTTCTTGTATTGATTTTCTATACTACCTACTTTGATTTTGAGCTGTACAGAAGGAAGACATCATGTTAGCTTATACAGGCTAGTTGCTCTCCTAACTATGGAAGAGCATAGTCAGGGGAAGAGTTGCCACATAACCACATGTACACACAACCCATAATCCTTTAATTATATGTAATCACAATGTAAAGAAACATGTCTTTCCCCTTAACTTAAGAAAACAAATGTAGAAAAAAAACATAGGAAGGCAAGTGAAGGAAGGGAAGCACAGCCTGCAACAAGAATGACAGAATACAAGGAAACAAAGGCCCAACAGCTCAGTCTGCTCTGAGAGTCACCCATGACCAGAATGTACCACATTGTTTTGAAATATTTTACTATGTTACAAAAGAAAGTGACACTGAATTTCCACAAATTAACAGATGTTTTGATGAATTTAAGTCTCATGACAGTATTATAGACCTGGAAGTCAGCAGCAACTGAAACAGGATTTGACCTTGGTATCAGCCCAGCTGTTTCTCTGGCAGATTATTTTACTATTTGTGTAAATGTTATTGTCTACAGAAATCAACCTTCCTCTCCACTCTTGCATCTCCTGCTACTTGCTTTTATGTTTCTGCAGGAACATACTGACTAGTTTACTTGGGAGGGAAGGGCCTGAAACCTATGAATCTCATCTAAGCTAAAACACAAAACAACAACCAAAAAATCATATGCCTCATCTCCAACTGGCAATTTTAACCCTTGCGCTTTGCTTTTTGGTTGTTTCAGCCCTGTGTGTACCTGTGTTAAACCTGGGGATAGTTTACACATAGGATTTGTAGGCATGAAAGCATTACTGCTTTAATGGTTCTGTATTAAAATCTCTCTGGAAAAACCCTTTAGGAGTAGAACAAATGAAGTAACCAGCAAACAGAAATGGCATCCTGTAGGTCTCAGAGATCCTGAGCCACAAGTTCCTTAATACAACAAGAGTTTTCCCTGTGTCTCCACACAATAACTCAGACCATGAGGCCTGTACAGGACTAAATAAATACAGAAGCCAATCAGCCTTAAAAAAAGGGACTATTACTCATGTTCTAGAAAGCAATATACTTTATAGCAGGGATTTAACGTCAAGCTGGTTTAATTTTTATAGGATTTGCAGCACTCAAAGGTCACGCCAGTTTAGAACAGTCTTGTTTACGACAAAAGTATCGACACCACCTGATACAGTAAATACATTTCAGTGCAATCAATTTCACAGCAGGCATAAAGCAAGTGTCCAACCAATCCAAACATCAATAACAGGGATTTACCACTTCACCAAAAACCTCTTGGCCATTTGCACTTGAAAATTCTATTACAGCATCAGCGCACAAGCAATTAAAATGTAAAGGATTGCTGCTAATTTGACTGAATCAGGGGAAAGATAAAAACCAAAAAATAGAGATTGAAACGTTAGGTATCTTAAAACCCTCAAACTGAAACTCATAACGTTTATTGAGACACTGGCCCAGGTTGTCCAGAGAAGCTGTGGAAGCTCCATCCTTGGAAGTGTTCAAGGCCAGGTTGGATGGGGCTTGGAGCAACCTAGTCTGCTAGGAGGTGTCCATGCCCATGCAGGGGGGGGTTGGAATGAGATGGTCTTTAAGGTTCCTTCCAATACAAATACTATGACTGTAGAAAGACAATTTGAAAGTGCTCCTTTTGTTGCTTCTGTTGTGTTTTGTGATGCAAACAGGAGCAGAAGAAGACATGACAATTCAGAGCTCTCAGCAAAGCACAGAAGTCTAATAATAGTAACATGAACAATAAAAAGAAAAAAAAGTCAGAACAAGCAGTGAAAAAAAAGACGTACTGAAGTTTCTGCTAAGTACCCAATCTAGCCCAGAAAGACATACAATTTATTTTCTGTTTCATGTCTGAAATGAAAATGAGAACATCGCTCAAGTACATCAGGGGAACTGACATCCAAAGGCTAAGTGTCAGCTAATCTGGTTTATCTTTAAAGAAGCTAGAAGGAGATTAGGTTCATTTTCCTTCACATTTCCAACAGCCTCCTACAGATTTGCATTTTGTCAGATTAGCTACTGAGCTTGAAAGTGCTTCTCTCTTCTTTGCAAACAAGGTCCAGCAAACAATTTGGAAATTTTAGAAGTTGAAATCACAACAAAATGCCCAGGAACTCTTCTAAGGAGAAGACAGGTAAAATAATGTGTGGATTAAAAACCAAGATCATCAAATGCTGACATAATTATGGCCAGGGCTTTCTGCAGTGAAACAGCAGGGGCACTTCTCACACTGTAGGAATAACTGGCTGATGGCCATCCTCATCTTCTGCACTGATGTCTTATGTACAAGAGCCAAATTGCATTTACAAATGCTTCTTGAACTGCAAAGATGCAGAGTAAGGTACAGCACACAGTAACCTCTGATTTCTAATTTTTGTTAAGTTAATTGTAACCACACTCTTCACTTGATACCAGCTAGGTGAGGCTACTTCTCAAAAGCCATTTCTTTTGTCCAAGACAAGAAAAAAGAAACCAGAAGACAAATACCTGGTCTTAAAAGCAAATGAAAAGCAGCATACCTAACACTGAGAGGTGATTCAACCGAGAGCCCCAGCAGAGCACAGGCATCTCTTGTGAAGATGTCACAGATGTCCGCCCACTGGTTTGCATCTAAGAGATGAACGTAGGGGGAGTTCTCGATGCCTTGCCGCAGATACACCAGGCTGCCCATCAACACCTGAATATCTGCAGGGACCAGGAACAGGCAGGTATTTGATGCTAAGAATAACAAAGCTGGTTGCCTACAGTTGTGGCTTTCAGATGGAGGACAGACAGATAAGCTGTATTGATGATACACATCCTCCCCTCTAAAAAATACAATTATAGCCATGAAAGAACTGGTATCAACAGCTACAAGAGCTCCAGGCCACTATGGACAGACTCCCAGGGGGTCATCTGCCCCTCTACAACAACTTGTATGCTGCCTAGTAATTTGCTTCAAATGGGTTTATACTTTTGGCAAAGCCTAAAAAATCTGGCTTTACTCAAATTTCCTTTAAGATGGCTCACTTAACTCACATATTCCTCATTTTTCAAAAGGTTTAATTTCTTTTTGTATTACCCCACACAGCAGAAAACAGCAGAAGACAATTCCAATAATGTTTCTAGCACCTTACACCCTGGCAACAGGCCTATTTTATGTGTCATCTAAGTATTATTCATTTAATTTAAGTGTTCAAGGCCAGGCTGGATGGGGCTCTAAGCAACCTGACCTAGTGGGAGGTATCCCTGCCTGTGCAGGGGGGCTGGAACTAGATGATCTCCCTTCCAACCCAAACCATTCTAAGATTCTCTGATTCTATGACCATTACTTAAAGAGTCAAAAAACTTCCATTGAAGCAAATATGCAGACAAATTAAAACCTAATTTTGCATCCCCTTTAAAAATAAACAAGGGGGTTTAAAGAGGAGTTAATTCAAATCATAAGAATGCAGGTTATACATGTTATATACAAAAATATGAAACCTCTAACAAAATGAAAATAATGGTGTAAAAGACATTTGGAGCACGAATAAGATTTTACTATGAGGTGCCATATCTAAATGCTTTAAATGTCATCTAAAACTTACCTTTCTGATGATTTAGGGCAAAGGGCTGGAAGTTTTTTGCATACTGAAGTGCTTCTCTTTGATTTGCTGTTCCACCCATCAATAAGCTAATGAAATATAATCTGTGAAGTTTAAATTCCAACGAACTGTTCTGTGCCATAAGCATTTCTCTGTTGGATACTGCCCACCTAGAAGAAAGGAGGAGGCTCAATGAGACATGACATTCAGAGTAATTAGAGTGTCAGCCTACACTGTATTAAATTATTACAATTATCAAACATCTATTTCAAGGAGAATATGATGGTTCCCTGAAATTCTCTGAGTTTATATGGAGCACAGAAAGTGACAAGACTCTTCATGAGTTAACAGAGCTACACAAGGCACACAACACATGAACAATGGTGCTTCTGGGGCTGCTGCACAGGGTGACCTCTGCAAAATTCAGCACCCTCTGGCAGGAAGGTAAGGCTGAATGAGACACAATATAAGGTAGAAATAGCTAAAACCTACTGTATTTTGATTAATACCACTTTCACTGAACCTTTAAGAACTGAATATAGTCTTCAGCTGCACGTTAAAAAGTTTTACCAAGCCTTTCAAGAATATATTTTCCAACTTCCTCATTCACCAAGCATTTTTTCTAAGCCACTGTGTTTATATGTATGTGCATGGTTGCCCTGGAGAGGGGAAGTGTATCTACTGAGGCTTCAAAGATAGATATTGTCAAGATCTTACAATGGAAGGCAGGAGGAAGAGCAATCAGTTTAAGTATTATCCTGTACCCTGCTTAAACTCTGCTTTCTGTGTTACTCTCAACTTGAACAATAAAAATATTTCTCACTTTCTGGGTCTCACTCACCATGACAACACTAACATTTGGCTCCCAAATAACATGGAAGAATTCTTAAACATGCATCAAGTAAAAGAAACAGGAATTTTCAAAGCATTTCATAAATAGCTATTCTATTATTTAGATTTTATCCATCCATTTCTTGGCTTTTTGGGGTCTTTTTTGGTGTGGTTTGGTTTTCTTCCTTTTGATTAAACTTAGGCCTAAATCAATCCAAACTTTCTCTTAAGAAGTTTTAATGTTTGTCAGCACATCTGTTAGTCATTAGCATTAATTAGTTACACTATTTTCACTGTGGGGCCCCATTAAGCAAAGAGCTTTTCACTCTTCAGCAAGTGAGGTATAGTCTTTTTTCCCTTAAAAAAAGGGGTATGCAAGGCTTCTGTTCTTTTAACCAACACTAGAAGAAGAAAATTCAGCATTCAATGCAAGTTACCCTTCTGCATTAAGATGCAGTGTTAATGAGCAAGCATCCACTTTCAATTTGTTGTGGTGAAAGTGTCAGGAGCCTGACTTTACTGGCAAGGCTTTGGAATGACATCAGTAACCTTTCAGTAGGAAACAGTGGGAAATGGAGCCTTTGAACTAAGGACAAGCTCTACTGTCCCTCATTTCAAGCAGTTTCAGATGAGCAACCTCAGAAGAATGTCAACACTAAACTACATGGGTTGTCTGGGGGGTTTCTGTAAGTAGTGTCCATGGTTTAAACCAGGTATAGTGGCAATAAAGCTCACTCCCAACTAAGAAAACAAGAGCCTGATGTTAACAGCCATAGACCAATAACCAGCTAGAAGAGAAAACTATTCTTAATAAACAGTAAGACTAGTATCAGTTCACAGTCCCACTAATGAGACACTAATCTGTATTGCATCAAAAGACAGGCATCAAAAGAGCCTCCCTCCTCTCCCTGCCAATATCTGCAACCACATGACATGATGCTTCATCTTGCTGAGATTGAGTCTGTTTTTCCAAATTAGCTTTTAGACAGGCTTTCCATTTTTAGCCCTTTGAGTGGCAGCACAGATTTGTGTCGGAAGAAAGCAGGCACAGAAGCCAGGCCTCAGGTGTTTGGTTTAGGACATGCTGTTCCTATTCCTAATGGAAAGACAAAAACAAGAAGTGAGGTTTAAAACACTCAACCCACATCCTCTCTACCACTGCCCAAAATCACAACACCTGTCTTCATGCCTTCTCTCCAAACAATGCTTTCAGAGTGTTTTCACTTCTGAGACTCAAATCCAGATGAAACTTCTAAAGTTTACAGTTTACTATTCAAACCACAGGTACACAGAGCTCTCCTCTAGTTCCCTCATGGGATTTAGTTAAACTGAGGAAGTGTGGTCTGGATAATAGGGTAGTGAGGTGGATTGTGAGCTGGTTGAAGGAAAGAAGCCAGAGAGTTATGGTCAACAGGACAGAGTATAGTTGGAGGCCTATATCAAATGGAGTCCTTCAGGGGTTGGTACTGGGACCAGAACTATTCAATATATTCATCAACGACCTGGATGAGAGAACAGAGGGCACTGTCAGCAAGTTTGCTGAGGACACTAAACTGGGAGGAGTGGCTGACACACCAGAAGGCTGTGCTACCATTCAATGAGACCTGGGCAGGGTGGAGAGTTTAATGAAATTCAACAAGGGCAAGCATAGAATCTTGCAGCTGGGGAAGAACAACCCCATGTACCAGTACAGGTTGGGGGCTGACCTGCTGAAAAGCAGTGTAGGAGAAAGGGACCTGGGGGCCCTGGTGGACAGAAGGATGACCATGAGCCAGTGATGTGCCCTTGTGGCCAAGAAGGCCAATAGCATCCTGGGGTGTATTAGAAAGGGTGTGGTTAGTAGGTTCCAGAGAAGTTCTCCTCCCCCTCTATTCTGCCTTGGTGAGGCAGGACAGGGAACTGCTGGGAAGAGTCCAGCACAGAGCCACAAAGATGATGGAGTGGAACATCTCCCTTATGAGGAAAGGCTGAGGGAGCTGGGCCTCTTTAGCTTGGAGGAGACTGAGGGACAACCTTGTTAATGTAATTACAAGTATGTAAAGGGCAAGTGTCAGGACAGAGCCAGGCTCTTCTCAGTGATGTCCAACAATAGGACAAGGGGCAACGGGTGCAAACTGGAGCTTAGGAGGTTCCATGTCATCATAAGGAAAACCTTTTTCATTGTGAGAGTGACAGAGCCCTGGGACAGGCTGCCCAGAGAGGCTGTGGAGTCTCCTCTGGAGACATTCAAAACCCGCCTGGACACGTCCCTGTGTGATGTGCTCTGGGTGATCCTGCTCTGGCAGGGGGGTTGGACTGGGTGATCTTTCCAGGTGCCTTCCAACCCATAAGATTCTGTGACTCTGTTAATTTCACAAAGCCTAGAAAAGATTAAATTTACTTTGAACTATATCCCCATAGGCCCCAGCAAACACCAGTACCTGTCTGCTTTGCTGCTTTACAGACATAAAAGACAGTACCCCTTCCCCAGGGAATTACAGTCAAAACCCTGAGGCTGTAAGTAATTCCCACCAGACCTTTACATGGAGACCCACCAGGGCTCAGAAGGGTCAGAATCCACCCAGAAAGAACCTATGGATTTCCCTCCCCATTACAAAGTTACAATGCGAAAAGTCACTGGAAATGAATGGGATCCTGCAGAGGTACAGAGAGTACATGGCTTAGGGTGCACAGTGGGTAGAAAGTCACACACCCCACAAAACAAACAAAACCCAAAATGTCATAGCCAGTTGTACTAAATTCAATTCTTAAGTTTAATATCTTTAAGTGTTAGAATTTGTATCCGTAAGAAAATCTAAAAAAACCCACAACCCTGCAGTTAGATTCTTTGTGGTTTTGGCTTTTTTTTGCAATCAGATATGAATACTAACTTCTCTCTGTCACCACAACAGGGCTTTCAAAGTCTTTCAAAACATGATTAATATGACAACTCCCCAGCCATGGCAGTGACCAGGAGCCACCCATGTTTGCTTTGCTTCCAAGGCTGAGTTAAACCAAGCACCAAATGCAGAGCACTGGCTGAGCCAGAGAGACTGGTTATGGCTTCTATTCCAACCTCCTGCAATTTTCCATGGGTAAACCCTGCTCAACTCCCCTTCCTGGTTGATGGAACTGTAATTAATTATCCTTGTCTAACAACCCCTTTCTGCTTCAACACCACTGTCAGTAGCCTAGCCCAGGAACAGGCCAGTTTGGGACTGCTTTTATGCACCCCTGTGCATAAGCTGCATTTACTGATGCAAACTGTAGCCATTTATTAGGTTTTTGCCCAGATAGCACAACACCAACTCTCTAAGCTCCTCTCACATAGAGGCCATCCCTCCAGGAGCAGCTTCCATCCTTCTGAACATTCACATCTGCTGAGAAATAATATTGGAAACACCTTCACTAGCATGTGAAAAAAAAACAGGCATGTAAGACACCAGTTACCTCCTAAACTGCACAGTCTTGTCACAGTTTGATCATCCTCACTAACAACCAAGTTTCCTACACAAACATCACTATAAATAAGGATCCTCAGTGCCCAGCAGCAGGCAAAGAGAAGCAGGGAGCTTTTGCACCGAGTTTAAACAGAATAAACATTATAAACAGAAATGAGACCGGGTGGGGGAGGGAGACCAGCCTCCAAGCTGTGCTGACAATATACCCTATTCTCTGTCCATTCAGCTGTCTTGGGAATAAAAGCTCCTTTGAAGAACAACCATGCTTTCTCCTTTGTTGGAAAAATATTTAAGACACTGCAGCAACTACAAGATATAACTAAGTAGCAATAAGTAAGGCAGAAGGCTTTGCTAACTGCAGCTAAAATGAATTTAGCGACTTCAAGTGAACTGGCTGTAACAGCAAGTTACTGTTCTACAATGTCCTTTGCAACAGCTCTGCTACTGTTTGAACCTCAAGAAATACACAGTGCAGCTGACATTAAACCCTGGTTCAGTTGGAACACCAGTCATTTCCATCTTGCTTTCCTTCATTGGCCAATTCAACAGCAATAAAACACCTGAGATTTCCACCTGTGTGACTAGATCCAAAGACCAACTGTTGAGGTCAAACTTTGCATGGCCCAGTGGCATAATCCATGATTTAGTTTATGAACACCACAGTTTGAATACCAGAGTATCCCTGCACAGAGGTTAGATGTCAGTGACCTCTGAATTGACATAACCCTGTTACATCATGTTAAAGGAAAACAAAATGTTTGTTGCTATGAAAATGTATTTAACTAATGCAAAAATGTAAATTTAAATGTATTAATTATGCTCTGGAATTAAACAGAATTTTTGACTATGCTTAGTTTTATTGTTTCTATTATTAAAAGGTCATTTCAAATATATATTTTTTTTTTTACTTACTTTTGAGACCAGCCTCTCACAACCTAAAAAACCCCCAGAAACACAGGGTTTGTTTGGAGTTTTCTCATTTTTAAAATAAAAGCTTAAATGGTACAACACTTACATATCCACTACTGAAAATCTAAACAGTAGCCCATGCCCACCCTCTTCACCATCCCTTTTAGCACCAGCTTACATGTCTAATGGCTGTAAAGTCTACTAAGATCAAGAAAATACCCTGCTCTAAGCGTATTTACTTCATTTGAGTGTTTAGCATTATCCACTGAGTTGAATGACCAGAATTGTTTTGCTCAGCAGAAATCTCTCACTAGCAGATCTCCCTCTCAGTCCAGGCTTCCAGCTAACGTACCACAGGGCTGTTGCCTGTTGAGGACACACCTCTCACCCAATGTTAACCAGCACCTACCTGGCAGCAGCAGCCTACAAAGCACACACCTATCCTTTCACTCCCTCATCCCACCCTGTGGTTCCTTATCTGGAAAGGAAGAGTGACTTGAGGAAAAGGGAGATCTGACACCAAGTCTTGTTCTGCTCACCCCAAGGGCCCAGTGAAGCTGCAAATACCTTAGTGATATCCAACACCTCTAATAAGTCCTGGTATCCTTTGTAACTGAACCTTTTAAATAGAATAAGGTTCACCAATGATTCACTATAAAGCTAAATAACACAGAATCATAGAACAGAATCTAGAATCATTAAAGTTGGAAGATCATCAAGCTCCAACCACCCTGCCATGAGCAGGGAACCCCACAACTAGATCAGGTTGCACAAAACCTCATCCAACCTGGCCTTAAAACCTCCAGGGATGGGGCATCAACAACCTCCCTGGGCAACCCATTCCAGTTCCTCACCACCCTTAGAGTGAAGAATTTCTTCCTAATATCTAATCTAAATCCCCCCTCTCTTAGTTTAAAACCATTACCCCTTGTCCTATCACTATCTTCTCTGATGAAAAGCCCCTCCCCAGCTTTCCTGTAGGCTCCTTTCAAGCACTGGAAGGTGCTCTAAGGTCTCCCCAGAGCCTTCTCTTCTCCAGGCTGAACACCCCAACTCCCTCAGCCTGTCTTCATAGCAGAGCTGCTCCAGCCCTTGGATCATCTTCATGGCCCTTCTCTGGACCCTCTCCAAAAGGTCTATTTATTTTTTGTGCTGAGGGCCCCAGAACTGTACACAATATTCCAGGTGGGGTCTCACCAGAGCAGAGCAGAGGGGCAGAATCCCCTCCCTGAACCTGCTGGCCACACTTCTGTTGATGCAGCCCAGGACACAATTGCCCCTCTGGGCTCCAGCACACACTGGTGGTTCATGTCGAACTTCTCATCAACTACCATCCCCAAGTCCTTCTCCTCAGGACTGCTCTCCAGCCATTCTCCCCCCAGTCTGTATTTGTGTCTGAGATTGTGCTGACCCAGGTGCAGGGCTCTGCACTTTGTCTTGTTGAACTTCATGAGGTTGGCATTGGCCCACCTCTCTGAGGTCCCTCTGGATGGCATCCCTTCCCTCTATAGTGTCAACCACACCACACAGCTTGGTATCATCAGCAAACTTGCTGAGGATACACTCAATCCCACTGTCTATGTCTCCAATAAAGATGTAGAACAGCACTTGTCCCAGTACTGACCCCTGAGGGACACTCATCACCTGCCTCCACTGGGGCACTGAACCCTTGACCACAACTCTCTGGGTGTGGCCATCCAGCAATTACTTATCCACTGAGTGGTCACACAATGGCAGACAACTGTTTCTCTTAAGTGATGTTCCTTCCCAAAACCTTCAATCAGCATCACAGATGATTAAAGTTAATCCTTAACCTAAGAGGATGACTCTTAGTGACTCTTAGCCATGGGCAAGGACACAGAGGAAACAAAAGAAGGCGGTAGGGGTTCATGTAGTAACAGACCTCTCAAAGGACAAATGTGGACACATCCAAAAATGCTGAAGACCATACTTAAAGTAGAAGATTTGTTAAAAGCACTCAGAACAAACAAACAAACAAAAAAAAAAAAAAAAAAAAAAGGGGGAGAAAAAACCCTGAGTAGACTCACTCTAATGCAGGTCGCAGAACTCGAACTTTTAATGCTTCCAATATTCGATTCAACTCCACAAACGGTTCTTTTTGACTTTGATCTATTGATAGGCCAGATTCCTGAAAAAAAAAAGGCAGTTTTTAGTTGAAGCATAAGAAAACATGAGATTAAGCTGCCATTTTGCTGACAGTTTAAGAACAAACACCCAAATAAGGATGCTAACCCAAAGCATCATTTCCCACGAGCGGTAACATTCAGCCTTTGCACTGATGGTTACCTGACAAAGCTCCTCGGCTACATCCAACATTCCCTGCCGGAAGAAGTGCTCCACCATCACCTCATTGAGGATTCTCTGGCTGTCAGCCTGCCAGCACCCATCTATCCCCACGCTGCTGATGTCTGAGTCAAAATTCTGAAACGTACAAACCAACAGTTAATAGGCTGGAACAAATGGCCCCACATCACTTTAATTCTGCAGGACACTTCCGTCTCCACCCTGATGCTTTCTGCCTCTTACTCAGTTGGCCTTCAACTACCTCCTGATCAAAGTGAAATCCATCTGTCAGCTGCTTCATTATCTCCTGTGCATAAAACAAATCCTTTAGCCTGCTCATTTCAAGTTTTAATATTATCCACTCTAAGGAACTGCACTGACAAATTACAGGTCTACCTAGCAAATTAGAAATCTAGACCATGATGCATTTTTGAAGAAAGTATCTGCAGAAAAGACTTCTTCTATATGTGAAAACTGAAAATGCATAGACATCAGAAAACAAAACTGTTTACACTGGAATCAAAAGTGTTATCAATGCTTCACTGTCATTACAGCACACCAAATAAGCAGGAAAAGCTTGAACTCGGAAATTGCTGATAGAGCTGTGACGTCAGCTGGAGGGGCAGACAATGCTGAAAAAGGAAAAAATCACTTCTTCCCTCCCCCAAACCACAATGAAATTCAAATCCCTGAAGATCTCCAACATCCCAGCAACAGGATAAGCTTTAAAGATCCAAGATATCTTTTACTGATTTAGCTGATCCTACTGCTGTGTATTTTTAGGCGAGTGCCCTACAGACATATTCCAGGAATAAGTAAAAATACTGTCACAGTGACTCTTTAGTAACACTTGGCACTCTGCCTATTGGCAGTAGGAGAGCAACACTTATTCTAACCCATTATATAAAACAGGATTTTAACTGCTAATATGTTTATGACTGAGGCAGAGAGGCTAATCTGAATAAAAATCCTCACCTATTGCCTCCAACAAACCTCTTGCAAAAGTAGTAGAGTCTAGAAGTCAGCACACTGCTTGCTGCCTGACCTGACATTTTAGTAACTATGGCTCCCTTCCATTAAGGAAATTTGTATATCAAAAGTCTGGTGCAAACTGCAGTGCTTCAGCTGCAGCTCTGTGACAACTGACAGTCCTGCACAATATTGAAACACCCACCTAGCACAATACACACTTCTGTCAAACCAGGCAGAGCAAACAACACAAAGCTGATAGGAGCTGTCTGTCAACCATGTATTATTGGTTCCCCATCAGCCAGGACAATGCTGGAGAGGCAGGTTAGCAGATACTCAACCTGCTGTGGTATCTGCCAGTGCAGATAACCAACCACCTTCAGAGCAAAGCTGAGGTGACAGGGGCTAGGTTAGATTAGAACTTTGTATTCCATGGACATGGCTTCACTGGCTGGTGAACCAGAAGAGTCAGACCCTGTTTGCCAAAACACTGGCAACAGACATTTGCAGAGTGATGATGCCAAAAGCACTGGGGAGTCTACTGTCCATCTGCTTCAGAAGTTAAATTTAAGTCTCCTTGCAATTCAATTTAAAAAATTAGAGAACATCATCATGGTAGTTTCAGACTTTCACACCACGGAGCCACTTTTGCACCACTCAAGTCTCTCTTGCCCAGCTACACCTCACTGCTTTTCCTTAGGAGGTATCAAACACCTACCTACAATTCAGATGTCAGCCTCAAAACTGAAATTGCTGCCCTTCTAGGCTGGCTCTAGAGGACTGAAGTGGCATGCAGTGATTAGCTTCAGTAGACAGGTGCATGGGGACACCCCAATAGAGAGCGGATCAGCCCTTGAGAGGCAGCCTTACCAACCGTGAGCTGCCCACCCCTTAAATGGCAAGGGGGAAGTTAGAGGGGGCACAGCAGCATTTATCTGTAAAGCTTCTCATTCTTCCTTTCAGCAATTTGCACAGCACCTTCCTTTTCTTCACCACTTACTAATTTCCTTCATCAGCCACTCTCCACACCTCCTCTGTGTTGTGAGAAAGGGGCAGTCTTCTCATCCCTCCACACCTGGCTTCAAAACCACCACTCCCTTCAGGTCTCTCAGCAAACTTTCAGTAAAACACTAACTCAGGAAAGCAAACTGTCTCTTCCATCTTCAGGAAATGGTGGAGCAAGATGAGCATTTAAATTATTGCCATTGTTTCAAGTCTCAGTTAACAACATTTTCACTTCAGTGTCTTTTAACCTGTAAGCTCCTTGGCATGCTGCTTGTCTTTAAGCTGGAGCTTGAAAAAACTTACAACACCTTGAAGACTAAATAATACTGTTTTTATTCATGCCAACCCTTAAGCCTTTAAGGGTCACCAACATCCTTGGTGGTGGTCAGTATCACTGTCCAAACACCACTAGCAGGTAATATTTCCAACGAATAAACTTGCTTTTTTTACTTAAGATTCCAGGATGGGGATCATCAGTAGCCTAAAAGTTATTGACTTAAAGTTACTCCTCAAGCAATTAAGAGTCCTAGCAAAAGTAAAACCCATAAAAAAACTGTATTCTTCTGGGCAGTTAGCAACCCATCAGAGCTGAACCTATGCCTTAAACAGTGTCACACCCTTCTCACTGCTTGGGGGCAGAGGTGGCAGAGCCACTTACCTCAGCGTCTTCACAAAAAAAACACATTGTGTTCTGAAGCAACAAACCTACGAGCCTTGAGAACCTTCTCAAAACTCCATTGTAAATTAGAATCTAATAAAAAATGGTAACAATGAGTCATATCATTTCAACCTAGATGTGCTGTAGGTTCAACTCACATCATATAACCTGAGGACGTCCATTTTTTTTCTCCCCCATGCCCATTCTCTGATCAGACCAGTCTTGATCAGGTTCTCATTTCAATGTTTAAAATTTAGTTATTTTTAAACAATTTCTGAGGTCTTTATTATATCTGGGATTCTACACCTCTTGCCTCCTCTGGGTCCAGAGGAGACTGCACATATTACAGGGAGTGACTGTCACATGTCAGAACAAATTCCTGCTTGCATTTGGCTCACGTATTTCATCACTGTCACGCCTGCATGAGATGCTGGTGACGACATATCTGTTTCCTAAATGCCAACATTATGCTGATAGCATGTGGGGTTTAATAAGATTTCAAAAGTTGAAATAAATTCTGTAAGTTAAACTCCAGGCAGGCTATATTGTGGTTTTCAGGGTTTAAGCCTAGAAGAGCAACTGTGAATATTCCTGAGACACAAGCCTTTTTTGAAGAGCCTAACTAGGAAGCTTAAGGCTAAAACGTAGAATATTATGTGCTAAATATACCAGTGATAGAATGTAAAGTACATTACTGATAATTGCTGAAATGTGAGAAGGACTTTGAGTCATGCACACACACAAGCCAGACCACTTCAACCAAGATAAAACCTTCCATGTTACTAGTAACAACATGGTATTGTCCCAAATCTGGGTTCTGCACCCAATGTGCAAAACCCTGTCCACACACACAGTTGACATACTTGTTTTATTCCAGTTCTGCACAGACAGGGGTGCCAGGCTAGCACACCTTTTGAGAAATAAGCTGACTTTTGTATACAAAACAGCAATAAAGAGACTTCAGAGAAGGAAATGACTGGTTGGTCACTGTCACTCTTAACTCCACGTAACAAAGCAGAAATTTAACATCCTCTTATCTCGAAGTTCCTGCTGGGGTTTTTTTGAGATAGGGTTGCCATTGCCCACGTCTGAGGTCCCCAACTCCACCCATGACATAAGCCCACCTAGTTTCAGCATCTGGAATCTTTGTGACTGTTAACCCTTGCCTTTTGACAACAATATGAAGGATGATGATGATGAAGGGCAGTTTTATTGTCAGTCTCTCAGCTGAAATCACTTTGTGCACTCCTCCTTTCTCCTAAATTCTGACTCAAAATACAAATGAAATACATTTGTTTACCTCCTCTGTTCAATTTGTTGGTTCAGAGATAAAGCTCAACTTGCAAAGACCGTATTTATCTAGCTACATTCTTCACAGTAAAGGGTTTTTTTTGTTTGTACACAAGTTTTTACATGAAACATACACTAAAGTAAAAAGTAAAACGTCTACTTTCCCAAACCAAGGACTGGTTTACCGCGTTGGCTCTTTCAAAACAGGCTTAAAATTCAGCGAAAAAACTGAAGGAGTTACCATTTTCTCCACTTACTTTCCTGAATGAGGGCATTTAACCCCTACTCAGACAGCTTGCTCGAGGCAAAACATGTACTGGCCTCATCAAACACGCTTTGAGATTAATTCAAATCGTTCCAGAAGAGTGATTGATTTACCGGGAGACTGATTAACGAGCTACCTGTTAAGAGCTTGCTTAAACAATAGTGACATGACGAGTTCTGGAAGCAGAGCAGATGCCAATACAATGAAGAAAAAACTGGATGTAAACGTTGCTTTTCAAAGGAGAAAATGCTCTTTGGAAGAAAGGATAACCCTCCATGGATCACATGCATGCAAATCCACGTGGAACTATTATGAAAAAATGTTTAGATTACTAGATAAACTCTCCAGGAACTGCTAACTAAAAAGCAGCACACAAAGTTCACATTTTAAACGCGGTTTGTAATTTATGCCAAATTTGAACTTTATTATTCCAACGTTTAGGAGCTTCTGTTCTCAGAGTGAACTCTGCAGGAAGACAAACTTAGGCCACATCCAAGTTCATAAGCAAGGACTACACTAATTTAAAAACCGACTAGATTTAAGTTTATATATGGGCATAATGCTGCCTCAGCAATGGAAAAAAATTCCATAATTTTCCACAAGCAGATAATACAGCAAGTTATTTCAAAAGCCAAGATTGTTAAGGAGGAAGTTTGTTGATGCCACGTGTAGCAACAATTGCCATTTAGATGTGTCACATAAAACTGGTACCAATATTAGCATGTTTCCCAATCTCCAATCAGTCAACACGAGTTATTTACCCATGCCTGAGCACATGGAGCTAGGAAGACAATACGTGGTGTTCTAGTTGTTAATCTGTCTATAAAATAAATGAGGAAAAATGCTGGAATGAGAATGTACACATGACAGAAACAAAACTCCAATCTCATGAACCCAAGCAAAGGGCTGTGCTTCTTTAAATTCCAACCAGCATTTTAGTTAGGAAGCAGTAATATTTTGCCTGGAATGTGCCGAGCACCAACTCACTACATCAATTACACTTAATTACTTCTATTGGTTTAAGCTTAAGTGTATTATGGGGCAGGAATGAGGGGAGGGTAATTTCAATAGGCTATGGGACTTGATGCCAACAAAGACTTTGCTAGCAGGTTTCAAATATATTTTCCATCAGGACAGGGAAATTATACTAAGAAGATATGGAAGATTTCCTTCCAATGTCACTGTCCAGGGGAGCATTAAATTCCACTTAGATTTAAACATTACATCTATCCATCTGTCAAACAGGCCAAGAACAGGGCACACTTCAGGGTACATTTTAAAGTAGTTCCCTTCACACATTTATATTACGGAAAGCAAAACTCAAACTACTTGCACTCCAAAATAAAACAGAAAAACAGGAAATTCATCTTTGAGACAATGCTGACTGATGTTCTGAACTTGATGAAAATACATCCTCCATTATCAGCAGGGCTGCTTCCAATCTTTTGATCTGAACATCACAGACACTAAGCAAGATTGAAAATCCAGAGGAATGAGCACACTGACTACAGCAAATTTTTGAACACCTCACTGAAACAGTTCTGACACTCAGCAGGCACAGAGCAGATTAGTGGTGTCCTTTCAACTATTTTACAAAACCACACTTCCGAAATTTTAAAAATGCTTTTATGTACAAGTATCCCTTTCCAAAGAAAATTAGTAAATAAAACAGCAGGACAGAAACAACACTGGAAAAACTGTACACGACAACTGAAAGAACAATTTGGAGATCAGACACACATCTAAACTTTATTTAAAGTTTGCAAATGTTTTTTTCCTTTGGCTTCTAAGAAATACTAATTTCCACTGATGGACTTGGCAATGTTAGGTTTATGAGTGGACTTGATGATCTTAAAGGTCCTTTCCAACCTAAACGATTCTGTGATTCCCACTCTCTAGATACAACCTCAGGCTGCTCTATCTCAGATTATTTAAAGGAAAAAGGTACAGCCAAACTGAAATCAGTGTGTCTGTTCCAAGTCCACTTGCTAAAGCAGAATAGGAAAGCTTCAAACTTAGGACAAGATTACACAGATTTATTTCAGGCTCCAAGCCAGTAATAAGGATGGAATTTTACTCTAGTTAATTGGTTTAGATACAGCAGCAAGGATTAGAGACAGATGCATCCTTAAGCTTTTGATAAGGGTGGTGCTTGGATTAAAGCTCTTAGTACAAAGTTTGAGCCCTCTGTAATGGGTCAATCACAGTGACAAGCAAAAAAATCACAGTTGCACAGACATTATGCTCAATAATGCAGCACTAGGTACTTTGTCTCCCCATTGCACCACTGTTAAATTATACTTAAACAGATCCTCATTAGTAAGAGTTTAAATGAGAGTCCCAAAGGATGAGTATTCTGTAATGCTGCAAGCATATTTGGATGAAAAAATTCATGTACTAGTGTCATCCTCGGTAAGATTATAAAGTGCACTTCAAATAAAATGTTTAGTCAGTCAACATAACCATGTTCTGATATTAACCTATCACACGTAGGGCAAATTATCTTGGAAATAAAGATATTTGAGCTGCCTCAGAAGCAGGATTCAGCATACAAACAAGTTCTGAAAGCAAGTACTATGCACCCCACAGTCTTGCCTCTGCCCCAAGGCTATGCTTCTGCAGTTGACAGGAAGATTTAATTGAGATTAACTGTAACATAGATCAAAATTCAGTAAAGCAGGGGACACATCACCTAATAACCCAATCAAATCACAACATAAATACCTTATCAATGGCTTTTCCAACTCGGGATACGCTGCTGTGAATGTCTTTATGATCAGAGGCCAGTTTCTGAACTGTGTCTTTTATTCTTTTGCAACACTGTGTCATAACAAGTGAAATTGTCCCCGATAAGTCTCCATCTTGATCTAGACAAAAGAGAAGAAAATTACTAACTGTGTTATAAACACATGATAACACTAGATCTCTCAAGATGCACCAACGTTTAAAGACAAGGGATGGTATTAAAAGAGAGAAATGCAACCCAGAGAGTATTGCCAAAGCAGGATCATTTTAAATGAAGATGTACAGGACATGGCTCACCCATGGAATTAGGAATCCAGTCGGGTGCACAGTAACACTGAACAAGTACAACAGCTTAAAAAATTCATGGAAAGATCTCATGTGTCTCTGTCACAGCAGATTAATAAACACATCTCAAAGAAACACGTCAATCCAAAAATGTCTCATGGTATAATAGGAAGCTACTGAACCCACTACAGGATCGGTTTTCTTTTAGACAGTTCCCTGAAGATACATCCAAACATCACATTTAACTTTCACAAGATGCAAGCAAAATTTGGATGAGAAGCAGCCCATGAACAGCCTGGATGTGAACACCAGATCCACTCTTTCTTGTTGTAAGACTAATTTTCCAGAAACTGTGACATTTTCAAACCAATGTGCAACCAACAGGTGCAATGCCTTACACCCTTCATGCCTCAACTCCTCAGTAGCTTTAGTCAGAAAAAAAAAAAGCAATACACTCTTTTGTGCTTTACTCCAGTCCTTTCTTCCAGCTTTCCATTTCAAAATACAAGGAGAATCCCTTTTCCAGTCCTACCTCTGAAATTCTCTCCTTCTTTAAAGTTCATTCTACATTATTTTTCCTTTAGGGACACAGACTTAGCAGCCTTCAGCTGCACAGGAAGGATAACCTGGGGGGGGACAGCAGCCCAGAAATGCTTCCCTAATATTCCGGATCCAAATTCTTCATATGAGAAAAATAATAAAATTAGCAAAATACCTCTTTAGGAGAAAGACTTAAAAAGCAACCATGCTTTCCACAGTTTGTTCCTCTCTCATTTTGTATTTTAACACACCTTTGGTTTCAGCAGCATGTCAGAGTCTAGTTTCTGGTTTCCCATGGAAAGCCAACTGCAGGTTCATTGAACTGCTGCTGCTCCTGCAGGACCAACAACTCAAACCCAACAGAAACTAACTCTTAGGAATGTACCACTAGCAACATGCCTCTGTCAAGAGCAAAGGAAATCCAGAAAAGAAGCTGTCATCATTGGTTGTATGTAATAATTTACCAGCCACTTATTCTAGATACCTTCCTTTGTGCATCCCAACTCTCCATCCTGCTGCTGTGAACAGCAGAAACAACTTCTGTTGTTAACACACTAGAACTAGCTCATCTCTAGAAAAGTAAACAGCTCCTGTTCATCCCTGCAAGCGCAAGCTGAGGAAGCTTTAACAGCATTTTTGCAACAGTCAGAGCTTTTAAGAAAAGAAGAAAAAATAGAAAAAGAAAAGCTCTACAGTTCCATGAAGCAAACGATCACCTCCCAGGTGCACAGGGCTCTGTATTTTTCCTAGTGGATAAGTGAGGAGTTACAGGATCAGTATCTCTGCAGTGCATGTTCACTAACTTGATTCTATATATCCTGAATTAAAACCAAAAATCGCACTCAGCTATTCCATAAATTTAGCCTCCTAAAGTTATTTCAAGAATAATCACTATTTCTCAGTTGCTGTTTAATTTTTAGAGCAGACATTTAAAATCACATCAAGGGTCTTAAATAACTGTCTCACGACTGTTGCCAAGACAAAACAATCAGTCAGAGATTATGCAACAAGCAAATGGAAATACTCATTCTCCAATAAACAGAGAGGTTAAAATGCACTCTCTAAATAGCTATTTTTTGTAAGAAAAGCCACTAGGGTAAAACCAAAACAACTTAAATGCCTAACTGTTTTTATCCCATGCAAATAAGTGAATTACTGCCCCTTAACACAGACTGTAACAGAAACCACTGCAGGAAGGCAATGAAAATGCCTACACAGGAAAAGCCATCAGAGCCTTAAGAGAACAGATCTGCCCCTTGCACCCACCTCTTCCAGCTTTAATTAAACTATGAGCTACTTCTAATAAATCAGAAGAAGACAGCCTGCAGACAGTCCTCCCAGTAATTCAGTGTTCACAGTCCTCCTGTTTACAGGCCTCAGCTGTGCTGTGCTTAGGCTGTAACATGAAAACAGCTCAAGAAGTTTTAACCCTGAGAGTGGAAAAAACTAGTTCAGAGGTTGAAGCAGCTTCTAAGTTTGTTTTTCTCCACCCACTTCCCTTTTATATCGACTGCCTCTTTAATGTCTTTTCATAAATCTTTGCTCTCAAATCTAGTCCTACTAAATGAATTTCTTATTCAGCAGTGAGTGTTTTCTTTTCCTTTCCTCCTTTTAAATGATACATGTGAGCATCTTTCTGCAGTTCAGAGCCCCTGAATGTCAGAGCTCCACAGCCAGATGTCTGCTTCCACTTCCCTCAATTTTCAGAAATACCCAGGAAACAGTATATAGAAGTTGCAAATACCTGTTCTTATTAGGAAGTTAAAAATAGCATGTTAAAGCAGAAGTAAGGATTTTGCCATGTACGAAGCCAGCTGATCCTCAGATGCCAAAATGTAATAGAGTCCACAGATCTTTGAGGATGCACTAATAATTTATTGGCTTCATTCTAGAGTGCTCACTTAAAGAAAGCTTAATTTAGGATGTACTTTGCTGGGACAGCATCACCACTTATTTAGCAAGTGCTGAAAACACACCCAGGGCCCTCACAGAAGAGTCCCAGAAACACCTCATTCAAGTCTGGATGGCAAATCCAGTGAGGACCCTGAAGGAACTGCACACTGGAACCTTTTAATTTTGTTATGAAGAGAGTAAAAGCTCTGGACCTACAACAGGATTCTTACAGACAAATATTTACCACCCCACAGAGACACACAAAACCAAAAACACATCAGGGTCACAGCACTCAGCTTCCCAGGCAAGATCAGTATCTCAGTGAAGATGCAGGTTTTAACAACTGTCCTTAATGCCCAAGCCCAGATTTGTACAGCACAAAATGCTTTTACTGAACCGAGTTCAAAACAACTCCTAAAAGAACAAAAGTTATTTCATCCCAAAGAAATGCCTCAGAACCAGAGTCCCATGTTTGCTATCTATGGAAACTGCTGTGTACACACAGCAGCTCTAGCACAATCCTGTTTATGTTCCTGGAATTAAAAGCACCACTAAGTGGGCTTTGCACCTGTATTTGTACAAGACTACAGCAAACACATCTTTCTCTGAACCAAACAAAAGCAGATCCTGGAAAGCAATGAAGTAGCACAGTCTGCTCACAAGTCTGGACTCAGGGGCCTTCAAGTTCCCATTGGTAATCCCCGAGCCATCCCTTGCTTCCTGCACGGCCTTGGGTAAATCACTTCAGCTGTCTCACCATGCCCTCCCACTCCCTCAACAAACGCTGCGCTACCTCCGTCCCCGCGATTTCGCAAGGTTTAAATGTCTGATGTTTACAGGGCGCCTTGGCCACCCAGCCCGCCTGCGCAAGGGCTCCACACCAGCTGCACCACACAGACAAGGCTCGGGAGGCCGTGTTTACTTCCTGCTAAAGGGTGGCTTCATCCTGAACACTTCCAAACCTAACCACATCAAAAGAAAACAACTCACTTAGGAGGGGACAAAAAAAAAAAAGAGGCGGGGGGAGGGGAAGAAATGAGGGCAGCCCTGCTGTTTCCCCTGGGGGTAAGTAACCCCCTTGTAAGACAACATGAAGGCGCAGAAAGCACGGACCTGCTGGTCAGGAACAAACACTCCTCTCCAGCAGCCACGGGAGGGAGACGAGGCCCAGGAGAGGCCGATACCTGCTCCCACCCTTAACTTTTCCCTGTCAGAAACGCACACAAAGCTCCAGGGGGGTGGAGGGGGAAGACCTCCGGCTCAGCCTCCCCCCAGCAGAGAGACCTTCCCGGGGCCGAACACAAGCAGGAGCAGGAACCCCGGGGAGCGGGGAGTGCTGCTCAGCCCCGAGGCTGTAACAGGCCTCCCAGAGGGGTCCCACAGCTCACAAAGGCTCCAGGTTTTGGGAGCCGGGCCCCATCTCCCCAGGGAAGGGG